CGGCACTTTTAATGCTCAAACTACTTACTCAGTTGGTTCTTATCCAACATCAGTAGCAGTCGTCGATATGAATAGCGACAATAAACCCGATATTATTGTTGCAAACAATGGTGGTAGCTCCGTCGGTGTTCTTCTCAATGCAGGCAGCGGCACTTTTAATGCCCAAACTGTTTACTCAGTTAATAGTAGCCCCGTGTCAGTAGCAGTCGTCGATGTGAATAGCGACAATAAACCTGATATTATTTTTGCAGACCAGTTTTCGGACAACGTCTGCGTTCTTCTCAACGGAGGCAGCGGCACTTTTAATGCTGAAACTACTTACTCAATTGGTGGTGATCCAACATCAGTAGCAGTCGTCGATGTGAATAGCGATAATAAACCCGATATTGTTGTTGCAAACGCTGATTCAAACAACGTCGGTGTTCTTCTCAACACAGGCAACGGCACCTTTATTGCTCAAACTACTTACCTAGTTGATAGTCATCCATATTCAGTAGTAGTCGTCGATGTGAATAGCGACAATAAACCCGATATTGTTGTTGCAAACCAGGTTTCGAACACTGTCAGTGTTCTCTTACATTGTTAAGACTGATCGATCACTAACCTTTATTTATTCATTAACACTTCACTACTCTACTAAGTATATTACTCTTATAAACCATTACACAATACACACTAACATTTATCTTCATTCTATATTAAGAATTTCAACAAAACTTTGCGACCAAGGTCGCCACCTCTTCTGCTTTTTTTCTGTCGTTCATACTTTTTCAATTTTTTTCTGCGTTTTCAAATATTATCTGCTTTTCATTTTTAACTCAAGTTCAGTTCTAATACATCATTATTGCATACATATCCGATGAATTCTTAGTGATGTATATTATTGTTCTTTTGTCGTCTTTGTTGTATAATGGAAATTAATAAGATGGCGATCTCGGATTTCCTATGGTTGTTAAAAAGGGCCAATCTATACGCCACTTGTTAAGGCTATTCTTTACGGATATTATTCTTCCTGAAGTATTTTCTACCAATCATCCAAATCTTTCAATTCATTGTTCCCAATCTTCTGTCTATTATTTGTTGTTGATTAAGAATATAATAAGCTGTAACATTTATACTTACCAGGAAACATGACTGATGCTATCGACAGCCATATTGATCAAGATGAAAATAGTGAAGCAACAGCAACAATCGAGTTACAAATATCATTGAGTGATAAATCGAAAAAAAAGAAGTTGATAAAAGGAATATTTAACAGAGAATGATTAAAGATCACCGAATATGAATTATTTTTGAAAGAATACAAACCTGATGCAACTTACGGCGCATGCATTGCTTGCAATCAGCAATTTTTAGTACATTATCGAGGAAAAGCTGATATTGATCATCATAGAAAAACTCAAAAGCATCAGAACAATTATAAATCATTTAATAATAATCGACAACTAATTACAAAAACCAATGAAACTATTAAAAGAAAAAGATGAGATTTGTGCTGCTGATGCTGTTCTGATTTATCATGATGTAAAGCATGGTCATTCATATTTATCTCAACAGTACATAGTGAATGTTTGTAAAAGAATATTCTCGTTCTCTACAACAGCAACTCATTTATTACCCTGAATGTTTTTGCACCATGGTTTACATACAATTTAACTGATGATTTGAAACGCGCATTTCATTATTTGTTGATGTATGATATCAGTAACAAAAGGAAATATTAAAATGTATCCATTTTGTATTCTTTTCTTATTCACAAACGGTGTCAGAAAAGGTATTGTTCTTCTGAATTTAATTTATTGTTGTAGTATTTTAGGCCTTTTTGAATTGATAACAGATATAGACGAAACAGCGGATAAAGTTTTTGTTAATGCTCGACAATTGATTGGTAATAATTATTTGGATATTAATGAATTAACAGCGGTATGTATTGATAACAACAATGTCAACGTTGGTGAAAACCACTCAGTTTTCTCTCTCTTTAGAGATAAATTATCTAGTATATATATGTGTAAGATAGTTCTAACTAATTAAAGAAAATAAACTGATCTCTGTTAATCTTATTATTTGATCTTTTCAGTTCAGAATAAGTTTGTAAAACATAATTCTAAATACTAGATTTGATGCATTTTAGAGTTTTCCGTAGAAACTCATTTTTCGCACATCCACATTTGAGAGATTATATGTCATAGACATAATGTACATAATAGGCAGACAGAACATAATAGGCAAGATGGGAGTGTGACTACGAGCGTGTGTGTTTCCTTGTTCTATACTGACAGCCACACCCACACAAAGCTCTTCCCCTTCGCCTCCCCTCTCTCGCCTACACCCACACTAACACTCATATCTTCATTATGCCTGTTATGCCAATGATAGCTACTTGAACTGTTCAGTCTGTCGGACGAGCAGATTCAATTTCCGGAAATTCTTGAGGGTGTGGGTGTAAGTGGCTAGGGTATGGTTATGAGTAGGTATGCACATGGATATTTTTCTCATTCATTACCGACACCCACACCCACCCAACCTATCACTGGTATTCCTGCTTCTATTTATCAACATTATATAAATTAAAAATGTTGAATATTTGAAATGAATACTGTATAAATTCTTTTCTTTTCTTTGTGTTTTTGTAAAATAAAATGAATTTAATATAACGACAATATTGAATTATTATCTATATATTATGATTAACAAGTAACTTGAAAATCTTTGCTTGTTTTTTTTCTGTATTTTCAGTATCAAACAGTTATTATTTTAATTTGATATTATAACTTGAGAAAAACTGTGACGTAATCAATAATATTATAGAATAAGGTGAAAATGAAATATAACTCATTTGTAAGTGTGAATACATGTATTTAATTGTTTCAAATGCATAAATGAAACTAGCTTGTTCGGATTTTTTCAAAAATGTTGATTACGTCAATACAAAAAGCCAAAGATCATAGCTGATATTTTTTTCTTAGTATCGAATTTTCTCAGAAATGTTTAGAGATTTTGACTAATGCTTTCTTACTTTTGATCAGTTTTCTCAGTTAGTATTAAATAAATTATATAGAAAATCTTATCCACTTTATCTGTGCAGACAGTTGGAAATGACGTAAAATCTACATTATCAAATTATGCCAAAATCTTACGTGACCTACGATCAAAGGTATGTGGACAAAACACACGTAAAGAATAAGAATATGGATGAAGGCAATCGATAAAAGCAAAACCTACCCACATACGTTTCTGGTAGAAAAATATTAAAACATATGTTAAATTATTCAAAATTTTGCCACTTATTCTAGAAGGTCGTATATATTTCAAATATTATGGTTCTTAAAAATTATGAAAAGAAAAAAAGAATGTTAGTTGCATCTATCGTCATGAAAAAAAACATTCTTACCTTTCTCAATGAATATATATAATAGACGTTCGAATAATATTTCTTTATATATTTATAACACATGACAAAAAACGAAAGAAACGAAGCTTTGCATGTCATAAAACACACGATTTTAGCAGAAGAAAAAATTTGACGAAAACACCTATTCATTCCTATTCTTGCTATGAGCTATACCGCAAATTTAATAATTTTTATCTGCCTTCAATTCAATTAAATAAATATCCTTGGTCGGCTACTGAGCATTATTTTCAAGCACAAAAAATTGTTTCAGATAAAAAGCATTATAAATATATTTAAGAATTAGCTATTCCTCGAGAAGTACTTGATTATGTTCGAACTCATAAGTCATTAAGATATTCCGATTGGAAAAATCTTGAATGTGGATGTGTGTGTGAGTATCTCTTCTCTTAGCTTCAATCACACCCACACCCACACTCTCATGCACGAAAACAACTTTTTGTTTCGGGTGTGGGTGTGGGTGTGAATGTAAATGTGTGGTGTGGATGTGGCTGTGATTCATTTATCACACCCACACCCTTATAATTAAAAGAAAATTCAGAAACCAGGAGAAGGGTTAGAAAACCAGAAGGTTTGGCAGCCCTGAACTGAAACAAAAATCTCTGTTTACTTCGCAAATAAGAGAAACTCTAGCGTCTAAAGAATAGAGGCTGCTTGAAACACGAGAGTTTACGACATTTTCCATACGTCAGTCACCAATTAGACGTGAAATTAATGTCTGGGCACATATTAAACATATTCATGTATTTGATGTTTAGCGTCTATTTTGTTTTGTATCAACAAATTATGGGCAGCTTAGATAAGTCCATCTTCTGCTAGTTTAATGGCTACTTTTACTAAAACAAACGATTTCAAATTGAATTTCTATTTAAAACCAACAAAATTTAACAAAAAAAAGCGGTGAAGGCATAACGCAAAGAAGAGCGATTTTTTATCGTTTTGCATTCAATATGAGAAACGATTTTCTTAATCTTCTCTATGATCCATAGCAATGATGTACTCCATCTTTGATAACTTTTCCATTTTTGTCAGCTGCATGGTAATGTTTCTTTCCTACTTCCGGATGTGCGTGATGTATCGGTTCATTCTTGCCACCGGCCAGAAAAGCACTTTGTTTTGCAGCTCCTTGAGAACTGTATTGGATGAAGTGCCATTTAGGTTTGCCACTGGGTCCAGCGCCTCGGTTGCAATAGTCGTCAGCCTCAGAGCTACGCTTCATTCTTTTCTCGACGTCGTGCACTAAAAACGACAAAGTTAAATGTAAGATTCATAGAAAACTTGCTGCAGTCCACGAAAATTTCATTGACAGTAAAAAAACTTTTTTTCTGAGGCAAGTTTTTACTTTAAAAACCAAACATGAAATGCAGGGAAAGTTGCCTGGAGTTCTTTAATGAAGCCAAAAACACTCTAAGTTAATGTTGTCTGCTTTCCTATTATTTTTGCTTACAAATTTTCGTGATGAAAAGCTAAAATTGAGAGCATTCGTCCGTTTGTATCAAAGGCTACTGGTAATCCTATGAAAAGAACGTCTATCGATTTCTTAAAATCTTTACATTTCCGATTAGATAGAATACGATGAATCAATACACCTACCTGCAGCTGTTTGAACGATTTCATCGTCAGAAACAGGTTAACTGTTGATCTTAAATACCATAAAGCCAAACAAGAGCCAACAGGCAAAAAAGTACAAATTGGCCATTCGAACAGAATCACGCTGACTAAACTTTTTCCTTTCACAAAAAATAAAAAGAAACAGTAGACAGTGGCATTTATATGTTGCTCCTTGATCAATATTTTCAAAAGATTAGTGAAGATTAAAACACGTCTCAGTTCTGTTTTTCTCAGAAATTAGTTTTTAATAACTTTTGATCAACAGATTGAATTTCATTTCAAAGAGAGACGTGTGGTTTTTCTTTTCGAAAGTGGGTGTGGATACGAGTATTACTCTTCGTCTTATTTTCACCAAGGGCAAAACCGCAGATATGAGTCCTTTTTGAAATTCCTCAAAATCTTGCACTTCTGGGTCTTCGAGTCCGTTGGAGTCTCGGAGTTCCGAAGTCCAGTAAAGTCCTTGCGTCCCTGGAATCACGGAGTCTTGGGATCTGCTGTTTCTCCTTTAATCTTCACTTACCCACCCACCCCTACTCCCACCTCCACCCCATCATATTTTATTT